CTTTTTGCTTAGAATTGACTTGGCTATGCGGGCTCTCTTTTGGATCCATATGAAGTTTAAGGTGGTTTTTTCCAGTTCTGTGAAGAAGGTCATTGGTAGCTTGATGGGGATAGCGTTGAATCTGTAAATTACTTTGGGCAGTGTGGCCATTTTCACGATACTGATTCTTCCTAACCATGAACATGGAATGTTTCTCCATCTGTTTGTGTCCTCTCTTATTTCGTTGAGCAGTGGCTTGTAGTTTTCCTTGAAGAGGTCCTTTACGTTCCTTGTTAGTTGTATTCCTAGGTATTTTATTCTCTTTGTAGCAATTGAGAATGGCAGTTCGTTCTTGATTTGGCTCTCTTTAAGTCTGTTATTGGTGTATAGGATTGCTTGGGATTTTTGCACATTGATTTTGTATCCTGAGACTTTGCTGAACTTGCTTTTCAGTTCCAGTAGATTTTGGGCTGAGACGATAGGGTCTTCTAGATATATAATCATGTTGTCTGCAAATAGAGACAACTTGACTTTCTCCTTTCCTATTTGAATACCCTTTATTTCTTTTTCTTGCCTGATTGCTCTGGCTAGAACTTCTAGCACTGTATTGAATAGGAGTGGTGAGAGAGGGCACTCCTTTTCTAGTGCCGGATTTCAAAGGGAATGCTTCCAGTTTTTGCCCATTCAGTATGATATTGGCTGTTGGTTTATCATAAATAGCTTTTATTATTTTGAGATATGTTCCATCAATACCTAGCTTATTGAGGGATTTTAGCATAAAGGGCTGTTGAATTTTGTCAAAGGCCTTCTCTGCATCAATTGAGATCATCATGTGGTTTTTGTCTTTGGTTCTGTTTATGTGGTCACTTACGTTTATAGACTTGTGTATGTTGAACCAGCCTTGCATCCCCGGGATGAAGCCTACTTGATCAAGGTGGATAAGCTTTTTGATGTGCTGTTGCAGTCGGCTTGCTAGTATTTTATTGAAGAATTTTGCATCTATGTTCATCATGGATATAGGCCTGAAGTTTTCTTTTCTTGTTGAGTCTCTGCCAGGTTTTGGTATCAGGATGATGTTGGTCTCATAAAATTATTTGGAAAAAGATTCCCCTTTTTTGGATTATTTTGAATAGTTTCAGAAGGAATGGTACCAGCTCCTCTTTGTATATCTGGTAGAATTCGGCTGTGAACCCATCTGGACCTGGGCTTTCTTTGGGTGTTAGGCTCTTAATTGCTGCCTGAACTTCAGACCTTGTTATGGGTCTGTTCAGGGTTTCAGCTTCTTCCTGGTTTAGGCTTGGCAGGAGGCAAGTGTCCAGGGATTTATCCATTTCTTCCAGGTTTACTAGTTTATGTGCATAGAGTTGTTTGTAATAATCTCTGATGATGGTTTGAATTTCTGTGGAATCTGTGGTGATATCCCCTTTATCATTTTTTATTGCATCAATTTGGTTATTCTTGCTTTTCTTTTTTATTAATCTGGATGGTGGTCTGTCTATTTTGTTGATCTGGGGGTGTCTGTGGAGAAAGAGTGCATGATGAGACTTCATGTGACTGAGGGGTTGTGAAGTCGCCTCTGTAATTTAGCACTTTGCCAGTGGCAATTACCATGGTGAAGGATTTCTTCCTGTCAGTTAGTGACATCATGCAGACTTTGAAAGAGAGCTGCTTTGTCATAGGAAATGGTGTCCAAGGGATCTTATTCCTGAACATGTGATGGCTGTTTTTCAGCAGGGGTTATGTCCAGGCCTCACTGGAAGAGCTAAGAGTAGGGGCCTGAGGACTTTACAAAGAGCAGTCAGGGAGTGAAGGACCAGGTGTCGTAATTTGGGTGGACTACGGTAAGAGAGATTCTGCATTCCATCTACAGCCACAGTCAAAAAGAACAAGCTTGAAGGGCCAAGTGTTTTTTTCTGCTGTGAACATTCCTGGGCTTCTCACAGAGCTGAGTCAGCAAGTCTGAGGGCTGGGAGAGAATCCCAGGCACCCAAGGCAGACCTGGAACACTCAGCCTCTCAGCATTTATAGTTGTGAGGGTGTCCAGTGTCTGCCAGTGATGAGGACGCTTTCTTTTTCTCTTTAAAAAATTAAACTTTTTTTTTTGTGGTTAAAAGACACACCATATAAAATTTACCATATTAACCATCTCTAAGTGTGCAGTTCAGGAATGTTAAGTACATTCACATTGTGCAGCCATCACCACCATTCACCTTCAGAAATTTGTCTTCTTCCCAAACTGAAACTTGTACCTGAACACCCCCACTTCCCCAACCCTTGGCACTCACCATTTTTTTTTTCTATCTTGATAGATTTGCCCAGTTTGGGGACCTCTTATCAGTGAAGTCATGCACTATTTTTTTTTTTTTTGAGATGGGGTCTTGCTCTGTCACCCAGGCTAGAGTGCGATGTCACAGTCTCGTCTCACTGCAACCTGTACCTCTCAGGTTCAGGCGGTTCCTCTGCCTCATCCTCCCTAGTAGCTGTGATTAGAGGCATGCACCAACACACCTGGCTAATTTATGTATTTTTAGTAGACATGGGGTTTCACCATATCGGTCATGCTGGTGTCGAATTCCTGACATCAAGTGATATGCTCAACTTCGCCTCCAAAAGTGCTGCAAGTACAGGCATGAGCCACTGTGACTGACCTGTTTGTTTTATATTTTTTGAGAATGGGTGTCACCATGTTGCTCAGGTTGGGCTCAAACTCTTGTCCTCAAGCAGTCCTCCCTTCTTGGCCTCCAAAGTGCTGGGATTACAGGTGTAAGCCACCGTGCCAGTCTCATACAGTATTTTTTTTACTGTCTGTGTGTGTGTGTGTGTGTGTGTGTGTGTGTGTGTGTGTGTGTGGCTTATTTTACTTAACATGTTGTCCTCCGAGTTTGTCCATGTTGTAGCATATGTCAGAACACTTCCTTTTTGTGGCTGAAGGATACTCCACTGCCTGGATCTAACTCACTTTGCTTATGCATTTATCTGTCGATGGACACTTGTTGAGCGTGTTTTCTTAGTGCCCACAGTAGCTCCAGTGTGTGGCCGAGCAGGTAGTGAGAGGTCTGCCTGCTCTCCCACACTCCCACTTGTCATGGGCCTTGCTTATTTTGAAGGGTAGAACAGACTGGAAGCTGTTACCTTGAGCCCACTCACTCATGGTCTCTTTTTACACACTGCCTGTGTTGTGTCTTTCAGGATGGCAGGAGCTGCAACTCTGCATCATAAGTCATTCACCTTTTTTTCTGTTTCTGACGAGCTTTTCCTATTTACGTATTAATTTATTTACTGTTAGAAACTGAGAGCTCTCTGTATTTAAAGTTGATTTTGATAATTATTTGCTTAAGCACCAACATCTACCCATGCTTTTTGCTCTCTGGAACAAATGGGCTCCTAAGAGTCATGTGGGAGTAATCTTTGTCTCCCTGCAGAGACACTGCCTTGGTGCCAGGAGTCTGCCCCACTTGGACAGTAGCTGGGATGGAGAGCAAGATCCAGGCCAGGGCCTCCCTTCTGAGGACTCTGGCTCCCATATCTGAGGTTGCCAGAGCGCTGT